CTTCTTATTTTGTGTCAGTACCAACTTTTCCCAGTGAGTCAACACGATACTTATTTCCTTCTTATTTTGTGTCAGTACCAACTTTTCCCAGTGAGTCAACACGATACTTATTTCCTTCTTATTTTGTGTCAGTACCAGCTTTTTCCAGTGTGACAACACGATATTTGTTGCCTTCTTATTTTGTGTCAATACAAATTTTTTATGTTACAACACGACCATTGTTTCCTTCTTATTTGAGATTTTCGTACCTTTCTCTTTTTATTTTTACGATATTTTGTAAAATGGTTTTCTTTTCATTCTCAGCTGTCAGACAAATCTTTGTACAAATATCAAGCATTAAAAAAATCTTTACTTATACACCAATTTAATACCTTGATATTTTTGTTCAAAGTCAACTTGCTATATTATTGAATATTTTCACGTAGTATTTTCAATATACCTTTAAAACTTGGTGATAAAATTATATCTTTATGTTAGAATAAGATTCAAACCAAAAGTGGAGCACACACTTTAGTTTATTTAATGCTAAATTATCAAATTAATGCTTTCATAAAAAAATTTCAATTCATAATTTTACATGTAAGTTTATGTAGTAAAGAAATGAATAAAACTACATACTGATTACTGTCTATATTCATACACAGCAAATAAGAGCTGTAAGTGTTGTTTTTTCTTTAGTTGTTTTAGATGTAATGAAAATCAGAGACATCACCTGCTCTAACTTCCACCTGGCCGTGGTCGCTAGGTGCTCACTTTGCATGCGCTCAGTCCAGCATTCATTACTGCACTTGGTGTACTTACTTTTTGGGTTGGTTTTCTTAGCGGCAAATAATGTTGAAATAAATGTTATTTTGAAAAGCAGTTTAAAGCAGATGTTATATGTTTGGCAATCAAATATTGCAAAAATGTACACACTAGAGTTCCCTATTCACATTCTTCCCACTAAGAAAAAGAATATTGGTACCACTTTTTCTGTATTGTTAGACAATTATTGGGGATACTAAAATGTTTAATATTTTTGGAAATTTCACGTAGACCTATAGACAAATAGGATAAATATTCAGGATAAATCAAAACATTTGGCATTTTAAAATCTGGAGACGAGAAATATGCACGCATATTTTATGGATAATGAGCAAAGTATGTAAATGGAAAAGACTACAGCAGTTTTGTTTGTTACCTTCATTATTATATTTTGGCTACAAAATTACCGTTTTGTTTGATTATGTTAAATATAAACTCGCTCAGCTGTCACCAGTCGCAATAAAATTAACAAATGGTAAAACTTCATGAAAAATTACCGAAACTATTTTCCTCGTTTTCTTAACTTCTTTTTCAGCAGATATTGTGCAAATAATAATAATAATAATTCTCTTTTTAATTGTGCATAAACATAGTTTACACCAAATATACTTCGATTGGAAGTTGTTCATCCATTAATATATTTTTATAAAGTAAATATTAAGCCTAAAGTGCGAAGCACATTGCAATTTTAAATTCGAATCACTGTATAAAAGGGTGGGATTATCAGGTGTGTAAATGTGTAAGAAAACCATGTTAAAGTATAGGTATCTTGTCAAAATCTAAAAAAGGCATTTCAGTGGTCAATCAAGTAAGTATGTGTTATGTTAAAACCAAACGTACAAAGATCGGGTCTAATTGGCCGAAAAAAAGCAACGCTAATAAATAAACTTAGAAAGCGAACTTAAGCTCGTGAATCAGAACTACAGAGAAGGAATGATTCATTTTTTAATTTCACTTACGTAAATCATACAGTATTGTGATTCGTAGTTCTTTACCTTCCTGCATTACGATTATAAAGAATATGCGTCGTAATTGGACTCCAAATTACGATTATGAAATATATGCGTTGTAATTGGACTCCAATATATATATATATATACATCATGGAAATTCGCTTGAAGCATAACATTTTTCCTGACAATAATACTTTGACCATTCACGATCATTATACTAAGTGAACCCGAGAGTTCGTGGTTCGTGTTCCGTTGCCTCAAAAACTCAATCGGTATTTTGGTGCTATGGATGCGCTTTAATACCAGACTATTCGATCAGACACGAGTAGCTCAAGGATTAGCTGTAGGCGTTGTTATCTAGCTGCCTTCCCTCTAATTGTAGCTTTGTACAAAATTCTAAGGCCCGGCATGGCCAGGTGGATAAGGCGCTCGACTCACAATCTGAGGGTCGTGGGTTCGCATCCCAC